CAAATATCACTAGTCTCAACTTAATGATCATGTAATATATTGGGATGCCAAATTTAAATTATAACTTTAAAAGTTAGAATTAATGAACTACAAACTGAATTTCTACATGCCTTGAAAATGCAGGCAAGTGTATTAGTTAATTTCTACTCTACATGAGTAAATTCTTTTTTTCTTTAGTTTTTTTTTCATCGGGTGTTCGTGATTTGGTGTTTGTATTGGAGTTCAACTTCGAACTTCGTAGGACCTCATAAAACAAAAAGTAGTTTAATTATGGGAGAAGTCTTTATTTAAACTTAAATATGAATTACTATATATTAGAAGAGTCTAGGATTTACTACCATTGTTCCAATTAAATCATTACAAATGTCCAATACTTACTATATAAAATATACAAGTGGGCCCCACCTACTTCCACTTAAATAATATTTTTCAACCTTATCATGGTAAAAGTTGAATTTATTATCCTTTTCATTTAATTTTATATGAAATTATTTTTTTCTATAAAATCATTATATATGTTTTAATAATTTAAATTTCAAAAACATTATAATTTAACTTTAAAGATTTTATTTTATCAAAATCTTGTACATTGAAATATATAGTTATGAATTTAAAATATTTTTAAAATCATATAAAAATTTCAATAACTTCTCAAATTCCATAATATAACACTTAAATACTACATATTATATATTAATTACTATACTATAAATGACTTAAATACTCCATATTATCTATTACAATAATTAACAATTATTTGACACTTTAAATTCTATCAATGCCATATAAATTAGGATAAAAAACCTAACATATAATATTTAAATATATTTAAAAATAATATAAGTAATACTATACATTATAATAATTAACAGCTTAATTATTTAAATATTTTTTTAATAATATATGTTATTTGCCATGTCCCAATTTATGTGGCATTAATTGATAGATTTGTTGGAGTCGAGAGATTTATTTTGTTAATTATTGTAATTTATAGTTTCTTTTTCGTCAATTTCAAACAATATATGTTTATCATATAATCCATTTTATGTGGTACCAATAGAATTCAGAGAGTCAATTAAATTTTTTATATAAGTTTTAAATAATTAAGCTGTTAATTATTGTAATGTATAGTATTACTTATATTATTTTTAAATATATTTAAATATTATATGTTAGGTTTTTTATCCTAATTTATATGGCATTGATAGAATTTAAAGTGTCAAATAATTGTTAATTATTGTAATAGATAATATGGAGTATTTAAGTCATTTATAGTATAGTAATTAATATATAATATGTAGTATTTAAGTGTTATATTATGGAATTTGAGAAGTTATTGAAATTTTTATATGATTTTAAAAATATTTTAAATTGTTAGCTATTGTGATTTGTAGTACTTTTTTTTAACATAATTTTGAAAGTAATATTTATTACTCTATTTGTTCTAATTTATGTGGCACATGCAGAATTTCAAATATTAACCATTTTTTATATGTCTCTTTAATATATTAAGTTGTTAATTATTGTATTTTATAGTACATTTTGAACCTAATTTTTTAATAATATATGTTATTTGCCATGTCCCAATTTATGTGGCATTAATTGATAGATTTGTTGGAGTCGAGAGATTTATTTTGTTAATTATTGTAATTTATAATTTGTTTTTCGTCAATTTCGTCAACAATTTTTTTTATTAATTATTGTAATTTATTGTTTCTTTTTCGTCAATTTCAAACAATATATGTTTATCATATAATCCATTTTATGTGGTACCAATAGAATTTAGAGAGTCAATTAAATTTTTTATATAAGTTTTAAATAATTAAGCTGTTAATTATTGTAATGTATAGTATTACTTATATTATTTTTAAATATATTTAAATATTATATGTTAGGTTTTTTATCCTAATTTATATGGCATTGATAGAATTTAAAGTGTCAAATAATTGTTAATTATTGTAATAGATAATATGGAGTATTTAAGTCATTTATAGTATAGTATAATTAATATATAATATGTAGTATTTAAGTGTTATATTATGGAATTTGAGAAGTTATTGAAATTTTTATATGATTTTAAAAATATTTTAAATTGTTAGCTATTGTGATTTGTAGTACTTTTTTTTAACATAATTTTGAAAAAAATATTTATTACTCTGTTTGTTCTAATTTATGTGGCACACGCAGAATTTCAAATATTAACCATTTTTTATATGTCTCTTTAATATATTAAGTTGTTAATTATTGTATTTTATAGTACATTTTGAACCTAATTTTTTAATAATATATGTTATTTGCCATGTCCCAATTTATGTGGCATTAATTGATAGATTTGTTGGAGTCGAGAGATTTATTTTGTTAATTATTGTAATTTATAGTTTCTTTTTCGTCAATTTCAAACAATATATGTTTATCATATAATCCATTTTATGTGGTACCAATAGAATTTAGAGAGTCAATTAAATTTTTTATATAAGTTTTAAATAATTAAGCTGTTAATTATTGTAATGTATAGTATTACTTATATTATTTTTAAATATATTTAAATATTATATGTTAGGTTTTTTATCCTAATTTATATGGCATTGATAGAATTTAAAGTGTCAAATAATTGTTAATTATTGTAATAGATAATATGGAGTATTTAAGTCATTTATAGTATAGTAATTAATATATAATATGTAGTATTTAAGTGTTATATTATGGAATTTGAGAAGTTATTGAAATTTTTATATGATTTTAAAAATATTTTAAATTGTTAGCTATTGTGATTTGTAGTACTTTTTTTTAACATAATTTTGAAAAAAATATTTATTACTCTGTTTGTTCTAATTTATGTGGCACACGCAGAATTTCAAATATTAACCATTTTTTATATGTCTCTTTAATATATTAAGTTGTTAATTATTGTATTTTATAGTACATTTTGAACCTAATTTTTTAATAATATATGTTATTTGCCATGTCCCAATTTATGTGGCATTAATTGATAGATTTGTTGGAGTCGAGAGATTTATTTTGTTAATTATTGTAATTTATAATTTGTTTTTCGTCAATTTCGTCAACAATTTTTTTTATTAATTATTGTAATTTATTGTTTCTTTTTCGTCAATTTCAAACAATATATGTTTATCATATAATCCATTTTATGTGGTACCAATAGAATTTAGAGAGTCAATTAAATTTTGTATATAAGTTTTAAATAATGAAGCTGTTAATTATTGTAATGTATAGTATTACTTATAGTATTTTTAAATATATTTAAATATTATATGTTAGGTTTTTTATCCTAATTTATATGGCATTGATAGAATTTAAAGTGTCAAATAATTGTTAATTATTGTAATAGATAATATGGAGTATTTAAGTCATTTATAGTATAGTATAATTAATATATAATATGTAGTATTTAAGTTTCAAAATTATGTTAAAAAAAAGTACTACAAATCACAATAGCTAACAATTTAAAATATTTTTAAAATCATATAAAAATTTCAATAACTTCTCAAATTCCATAATATGACATAAATTAAAATAAAAAAATATATATATTGGGCCCCGTGCTGGCACGGGGTCCTATATCTAGTTTATTTAGATAAGTCAAGTTGAAATTATTTTGAATTATTGTTACGTAGATTTTCTACCGATTGTATTATCAAATTGACTAATTTAAAACCCTTTATGCTTCAACTTCAAGTAATTTAGTTGGCTTAGTTGGTTTAGATTAGGTGTCCAGATAAGATATTGTTTGGCTGAAAGAACTAACATACTAAATTTTAAAGCTAAGTCCACTCATGTCAAATTCAATGCTCAGAGGTTAATTTGCAATTTAAGTTGAAGAAGCAAGAAGCTATGGACAAAATGAAAATGAATTAATTAAGGTTAGTTAGCTAGTTTTACAGAAATAATTAACAAAATTAATAGGAATCCCAAATTAACATTATGGACAAATAAAATTGAGTTGTAGTTCAATTTAACCTACTCAAGTCTACTTTTCTTCCCTCTGGTTCTATTTTTTATTTACAATATTGAGAAATATATAAAATACTTTCAACTACCCTTAAATATTGAATCGCAAATTAACTTTGTTAAAATTGTTCTTCTTTTAACCTATTTAGCTCAAAAAAATTTAACAACTCAATCTTGGGTCAAGTCACTCATCTAATATTATTTATTTTTTGATAAAAGCACTAACAGGAAATGCACAAGAAACCCACGTTGAAAACGACAATCACACCTAAACTTTCAACAAATGAAAATATTTATTTTAGTAAAGTCGAGTCAATTTAATTTGACATGTCGAGATGATTGAAGGTAAAATTGTTGTACAACCCACGCTTAAGATTAAGAATCTTTACGTAAATACTCGGTCAAATATCATTTAATCTATATTACGACAGTATTATCATGAAATTCAAAAGAATCTTAATAATTCAATTAAATTGGTTACTTGTTCACTGAGAGTTTGATTTTTACTTTGTATTTAAGGAAAATTTCGATAAAAGAAAAACTTAATTATTATCTTTTTCATCAAAACTAACCACTTTATATTATTGATTAAGGAACTACATAATTCAAATGGTACCCTAACATCATGTACAATTGAGTTTGAGAAAGCCTCATCCGAGAGATCTTATTCAATCAAAAAAAAGAAAATCTAGTTAATCTGAAAGTTATTTCGTTCAAACATGTAGAAATATATATAAAATCAGCATGATCAAACATATTCGAGGGGCATGTATTATTAGGTTTTGCTTAGAAAGAAATGTTTGACAGTTGGGATGTTAAAGGAGAAAGAAATGTTTGACAGTTGGGATGTTAAAGGAGTCTTTTCCTATCAATTATGTCGTGATTCTTGTCCTTTCCACCCAATTACGACTAAAAGTTAGTACTACTTAATTTTTTATTCAAAGGAGTCGACCCGCCAAATTTGATTTTTCTACTAAAAATTATTCAATCGAAACTTCCAGGACATATCTTCAGAGAGAATCATGGCTTTTGCTACAAAATCATCACCTCGCTCTTTACAACCTAACAATTCGAACATTTGTTCTGTAATTCATTCAAACTACAACAACGGAAGAAGAAGAAAAAGTTAATCTCAACAGATTTTTAAAAAGAAGCCAGAGATGAAAAACCTGTATCACGCCGTTGATTGGGAGAAAGAGTCTTTCCCTGAGTACCAGGATTTGAAATTTCTCATATTTTTCGCTTTCTTCTTCCCCGTTCTTCGATTCATACTTGACAGATTTGTTTTCGAGGTAAACAAAAATCTCGAGTTTCTCTTAGTAGCTCAGTTGGTTGGCTAACCGAACTGATTTTGATTAATTTTTTTCCCAGTTTTCTTCTCCCCTCTGTTTTTTTTCTTTTTGAAATTTGAGATTGATTTGGATGCGGGCTTATATTGTTTACTCTGATGCTAGGCATTGGCTAAGCGCATGATTTTTGGAAAGAACGCAGTTGTAAATATCAACGGTCGTGAAGAGAGGAAGAAGATCAACAAATTCAAAGAGTCAGCATGGAAATTTGTATATTTTCTATCTGCTGAGCTACTTGCACTATCTGTGACTTGTAATGAGCCTTGGTTCACAGATAGTCGGTATTTCTGGGCAGGACCTGGAGATCTGGTTTGGCCTAATCTGAAAATGAAGTAAGGTTCTTCTCATTTTTGAAGATTTTGTATTGATATCTAAATCAGGAACAGAGTGTTTATAACCTGGTTAATTCGAATTTGGCAGATTAAAGCTGAAATTGTTGTACATGTATGCTGGAGGATTCTACTTGTACTCCATATTCGCAACGCTTTATTGGGAAACAAGACGCTCAGATTTTGCTGCTCAAATAATTCATCATTTAGCAACAGTATCACTCATTGTGTTGTCTTATGTATACGGGTACAGCCATTTTCTCAGCTGTTATTTTGCAGAAAAGTGTTTGTGTGAGTGAGTTTTGAAGAATCTGAACCTTCTGTTTTGCAGGTTTGCGCGTATTGGATCAGTGGTTCTAGCACTTCATGACGGAAGTGATGTATTCATGGAAATTGCAAAGATATCGAAATACAGTGGCTTTGATTTGATTGCTGATATTTTCTTCTCTCTTTTCGCGTTGGTTTTTACATCACTTCGTATAATCTGCTATCCCTTCTGGATAATCCGAAGCACATGGTGAGTTCACTACCAACTACAATCACAGTAAGCTTGTTTTCTGTTAGTTCATTGTTTCTAAGATTCGTTATTTCTTTCAACTTTGTGCAGCTACGAACTTCCTTTTGTACTGGATATGGAGAAGGAACGGACTACTGGTATCATACTTTACTTTGTTTTCAATGCATTGCTGATATGCTTGCTGGTTCTTCACCTCTTTTGGTTCCAAATCATACTGCGGATGGTTAAGAACCAAATCCTATCAAGAGGCCACATTACTGATGATGTTCGAGAAGGTAAAAGAATCATCTGTTTCATTGATCATATATACTTCCAGCATGATAGCTTGTGATCTTACACTGCATTTTTGTTTATGATCTGCAGATTCTGAATCTGATGATGAGCACGAAGACTGATCCTTCAGTAGCTAAGATCAAAAGTACGATTTATGGTCCAGGCTGATGTTTGAAGCATTCAAATATTTTATATTTCTTGTAAAGGCAGCATTAATTGATGTTGATGAACAAATTAAACATAGGGAATTATAGCGAAATTCTTTATTCTGGGTTCCATTCATGAGTATTTGCCTGTATGTATAAGAAAAAATTTACACAGTTGGAAATATGTATATATTGAAATGCTCTTTGGATGAACTGTCAATTTAATTCGTTTCAATCGCTTCACCTCTTAAGTCTAAATTAAGTCTAAACAGCTAAATATTTCACCATTGACCAACTATAAACAATAATTTTAAAGAAAGAACATATGATTGGCAAAGCCTCTTGCCACAAATATAACCTAAACAAGAGCAAAATATTGCTGCTTCTCTTACATTTCAACAGGGAAAAGTCAAGAATGAATAGTAACTTTGCAGTAAATTATGTAATATAAGCTAAAATGATGCTATAAGATGATTCATCTGTAAACTAACCCCACAAATCTTGTCCTATCTTTTCAATGGGAGAATTTTGAGATCAATTTGTCAACATGAATTATGATATCATCTATGCGAGGTCGAACTGTCCCCTGAGGCTGAAGCATCCATGTCACGAATTGGTGAAGGGCTTCTGGATATGGAGGTTTAGGCCCGGCTGGCCACTTTATCTGTGCATTTACAATAGCCAACTGTAGACTTCCACCAGATTCCCCAAGCGCGTATTCAAAGGGAGATACTCCATACCTGCAATAGAGATAATATAAATATTCGGTTACTTCTTCTTGATATACACCACACGGAAACCACTTTCATGGTCAAGAGATGTCACCACCTTTGAAATGCCAATGGTAGGAGACAACTTAATTAATTTGTCTCGGAAAGAAAATAAAACCTGAAAATTGATGAAAATTAAACTAGGTCTCTGTTAAGATAAAAAGTACTGCCATGATTAGTAGTCTCAGTGGAAATTGGAAAAAGTAGGGAGCTCTATTTGTAGTGTAAGACCAACCCCTTTTAAGTTATACTTAACAAAACTTGTTATCTACTACCTGATTTTCTCATCTATTTATACTTCAGAATCAGCTCCGAGTACTACAGAATAGTACAAGCACCAAAATACTAGTGCTACGTACATGCGCAACAGGTGCAAGAAATAGGATAGTCGAATCAACTTTGGAGAATCTTGACGCAACTATCAGCTATGTACTGGACAAAGGATTTTCTTTCGCTTCTACAGAGAGCTAGCTTCAAATATTAAAAAGAATTGAGAGGATTCTTACATTATTGCATATAATGTACAGCCTAATGACCAGATATCAGTTCTTTCATCAATATCACATTGGCTTGGGCAATCCCATAATTCAGGTGCTCGGAAGGGCGCGGAAACATGCTCAGCTGCCCATTCCTGTAAAAACAATAGCATAGGAGAAAACATTCAGCACAGACATGTTCAAAAGAAGGAACTTGATTGAAGTTTACAGGCATATGAATTAGCAGAAAGTATGAATACAATTAAAAAAGAAATCAAGTACCTGCAGCTGCAATGCCTCTTGACGAGAGCGGATTTGCTTTCTTGCAGGACGTGTACTTCCAAAGTCCATTAATACTGCAAGAGGTGGCTGTTCTTTGCTATGAGTTAGCAGGACATTACCAGGTTTGACATCATTATGTGCATAAGGAGGATCAAAGCTATGCATATGCTTGAGTCCTGCACAAAGCTGCATAACATTGTTTCTTAAAATACATTTCTAGGCTCCAGAATTGATTTTGTCCTCCCCTTGTATTTTCTCAAAAATCCATGAAAATGCAGTTTTGCAAAAATATTGGTCCTTAATTCACCTGACGAAATATTTGAAGAACGTCCGAAGTGGAAAAGAATTCCTTCTTAGCTTTCATGGCAGTGGCATTATCTAGTAATGTCCCATCCAAATGTACTGGAAACAACAAGTAAGCTTCATGCTTCCAGGACTGATCTGGCCCGGCCTATCCAACAGAGTAAGATATTTAGATAGAATGTAATGGAAATAGAACATGTGGTAGAGGAAAGGGTACAAGGAAGACGCAAATCAACAGGGACATAATATGCAGTACAGCTATAAAAGCCCATAACATGATTATAAATAGCCTTTTCATAAATGACAACTGAGAGTTGCTCAAACTCCATGTTCAATAAGCAGAGAGTGTTGGAAGAGCAATACCTCATCACTTCCTGTGATTATTTGCCATTCTCCTCCACCACACTCCTCCCCCAAAAAAAACCACAAAAGAAGAAAAGGAAAAAGAAGAAGAGTTGTGTTTCTCAAGAAGAAAAGTATTACAGAGATAACTTTGTTTGACACTCCACATGATCGTTCAAGCTTTGGTATTTTTAGAATTCTCACATCACTTTAAGACTGAACAGTGTGCAATATCTTTTAAGAGAGGATTCAGATCCTCAAAGTACACCTAAGAGCTCCTGGAATGGTAATGGATAAGATAAACCTATCATGGATGATACCACAGTCCCAATTTAATTTTCCACCACCTAATTGTGCAAAACACTCTTGTTTACACTTCACACAGAGCCTAGACATGGACATCACTCATCAGTGTATTACTAAAGAGATCAAAACACAGAGCTTATGGGGAAGGGGGGGAGGCAAGGTGATTGCAGCAACTACCTTGACTGCAATGATAGCATGATCAAGCAGAGGAAGCAGATTGGGATGAGTAAATAAAGATGAAACACGGATCTCCTCTTTAACCAACTCCAACTGTTCGCTGTTCTGAATAAGAACCTTCTTCATGGCATAAGTTCCATCATCTGGACATACAGAGAGTTTTCAATAATTTTTTTACATAATAAAAGAAATGACTACAATGATTGTACACCAAGTTCAAAGACAACTTATTCTTTGCACTTCTCCAAAGAGAAAGATTCCGTTAATCAGATTAGAGTGGGCTAATAAACCACCAAAGTCTATTCCAGTGGAAATGTAAGTAGAAATGGTAAGGAAACCAAGCAGAGAAAGAAAAAAAAGAAATAAGAAACCCAAGAGCTCCTAAGTTTAGGCAAGGTCACTGCAGCAAACTATACAATTGCACGGGAAAGAAGCACATTCTAGAGTACAATACCTCCAAACTCCAGTAAATAGAAACTTGAGCAATCTTTGCCAATTCTAACATCATAGAATTATCAAAATCCGAAATTTGAAGATGATTAACCTTTACATATACAATAATACAAATAATATTCCGATCCAATAAAACAAAAATAGAAAAGCATTGGATGGTGGGAAGGCACAGCAATCAAGAGCAAACATCCCAACCCCAGCAACTCCTCACAATTGAAAGATCATATAAGCAATTAAGATTGACTCTAATTATTAGTAACAAAAATCAAAACAAATGCATACAATTGGAGAAAAGGAACAAAATGGCTGAACCAACTGTTAGTCATGATTAGCAGGGAGAGAAAAAAATTACCAGATATATGAGAAGAATCCTTAAATTTCTTGGAAACGCCAGGATTAGAAGGGTCAGATATCACCTCCTTGACAAGGAAAACGTATGCGAAACCACCCTCGCCAAGCTGCCTGACAATTCTGAATCGGTTCTCATTGATCCAAACATCGCCACCACCATTTACGGCGTCGTATAGAGCATTCAAACCGGAAAACGAGCAGCCCATCTTCTGATCAAATGGTCAGCTCCCTCTTTACTCTTCAGTCTTAGATCTTACACTCTCTCTCTCTCTCTCTCTTTGATATATTTCCGTTTTCTTCTTTCTCACTCTCGGATCCGTCTCATGTGTGCGTATGGATTGAGTTCAAATTACTTTACTTTACTTATCCAACCCCCGGTTGACTTGCAAAAGGTGAAATGTGAATCCCCTTCTACGTTATACTACGGACTAATAAATTCACTTGTCTGTTTTCTCCTTGCAACATGTAATGTCGGTGGGCTTTGGGCGAGGGTAAAGATGTCAAGTCTAGGTGAACTTTCGTATCAGTGATTGAGCTCAACCCATACCCGCCCCATTGACATCCATGACGGAAAACTAGCTGAGTTTTATATGCAAAGCTAAGTGACATATGCAAAACTCTTTCAATCTTAATCATAAATAATCAATCTATATAGTGCAAAATTCATTAATTTCCATCTCTGGATGATTTCATTTCATTCTATATACAAGAGTCAAGAAAAATATTAACAAATTGTTAGTTCTAAAATGATTCTCCACCTTTATGGTTACAAAGAGAATCATAAAGATGACAAACCAAAATAATTTATCCAAAATAAACAAAAATATGCTTTGACATATTAGCCTTACTTGCTAATTAAAAGTAATATATGAAATTATATTTGGAAAGATAATGCACCTCAAATCTTAAAAATATTGTAACATATCTGCCACTAATTCTCTAACCCAAGATGACTACAAAATAACACACAATTTTAGTGTGATTTTATAGTGTTAATATAACCTTCTACGTTAAATAATTAAAGGTTATGAATATGAAAGACTTGAGAGGTTATGAATATAAAAGGTTTGGGAGTTATGAATATTATTAATACTAATTTAAGAATAGAATTTATATAATTGAAGAGGTATACATTTAAGAAGATGATTTTGCAAGAAAAAAATAATTGAAAGAAACAAGAAAAAATGTCAAGAAAAAGAGAAAAATAAATAAATATGAATGAAGGTCATAGAAATGTGTATATATATATATATTGAAATACATTTACATGATTAAATGCTAATTATGAATATCTCTTTTAAAAAGTTATTCAACTTTGATTCTTGACTCAATTTCTTTTTATCCAACCCAACTGAACAAAGATAAAAAATTGCATACCCATCTAGTTTTCGACTCCGTGAAATTTTCTAACTCCCATAAACAAAAACTAAAAAATCTTGAACCAAAAGTGGAGTTAATTTCTTACTCAACTAAGGTTAGTTCACTCACAAAAAAATATTCTTCATTTATAAGTAACTCAAAAATTATTCAACTATTGACATTTCATCTATAAAATTGCTGAATCATTTAATGTGATTTTTTCATTGAATTTTGGTGATATGAAAATTTTATTTAAGCCAATTTTTTTAAGAAATAAGAAACTTAAGAAGGTGTTTGACCATCATTTTTTTTTTTACTTTTTTGGGGACTAAACTTTGAAAAATGTGTTTAGCCATAAAAGTTCGTAATCCAATAAGAATTTTT